ATTATATTGCAGATAGCAATGACTTGTTAATGCTTGAAAACCAATGAGTGTATTTTAGTTTTGAACCACTACTTTTACTCATTGTATGTATATTTAATCAATCAACCAATCCACCAATCAATCAAAATTGGTCAATCAGCTGAGATTCTTACAGCACAATCTTCTGCATGCTTACTCAAAAGTAAGTCCAATTAGATTCAGCAGGACTTTTCCCCAAGATAAACACATATACAATAGAAGATATAGAGTAGCAAACCAGGCATCTCCCGTTGTTTGCCCTAGAACCAGGGCCGGACTGGGACCAAAAATCGGCCCTGGCATTTAGAGCACACAGGCCCACCGGCTGTGGGGACACAGGCCCACCTGGCTTTGGGCCAGGATTGGCCCTATGGACCCCTGAAATGCACCGGGGGGATTTTGAGCGAGGTGCTCTCGCCATCAGCCTGGCCTACCTCACAGGGCTGTAGGGAGGAGGATAAAACTTGGGAGGGAGCTGAGGATATGAACGAAACGAATAAACAAAACCTCCCTGTGCAAGAGGAGTGTATCTTTTCTGCCGCAGCGCATCCTAAGGAGCAGGATAAGAAGGCAACTCGTATCTAAAGCGGGGTTGTGACATTCTCAGGGGACAGTGAAACAAAGACAGCGTAGCCCAGCTCTGATCAGGAAATTTTCACTTTAAAAAAAAACTGGCCAGGAAAGTTGATCTTCCCGGGACCGGGTCAGGATCCCTCCGGTCAAGGCTGGGCTTGCCGACGAAACTTCAGCCCAGCCTCGTCAGAGGGGCTTTCCTGGGAGGCAGCATGGCCACCCCTGCCCGGGAGGAGAGGCTTTCTCGGCTTCCAGTTTCCGATCGGCCCTCCTCACCTCTTCCAGCCCCCCCTCCGCTCTTTTCCCCGTCCTCACCCCCTTCCTCCTCCTCCTCCCCTCTCCGCCCCCCCGGCTTTCCCTCCTCGCCTGCCCACCCGGGGAAGGCCGGCCGAGGCGCCCGCTCCCTCTCCCGTCCCCCAGCGGTACGCTTCCCTTTGGAGAGGCCAAGGGCGCCCGGCGAAGGCGACGCACCCGGGCACCGT